TCTTCACATTGAACACTGACTTTGTGTTTGGGAGGAGGAGGTCATGATGGGGAGTGTGCCTGAGATTCCACTACAGTTTGACTATCTGTATGGCCGGATCAGGCATATTTTGCCTTTCCTGCATGCACCTCTCACCCCAACCCTGACCCAAATGTCTGAGGCCTGCTCATGCTCTCTGTGTTCCTGCCTTGGGTACTTCATTATATTTTTGTGTTTGTAAACTTAAGTGTTTATAAGTAGTATATTTTGTCCCTTATTCTGAACCTTTCTCAGTATATCCAGTCTGTATTCTGTACATTGCTTTTCATGGATGTGATAGCAAAATACCTGGGCTCCGATTCAACTCTGATTGTCTCAATGCCTATGAAAGCTGTCAGTATCAAAATGGAATCACTTATGTCAAACCTAAACCATGGATCCAGTGGGACCACAAAGGAGTTGTCTTCTGCATATGCCAAGAAATAGTAAAGAATTCCTTCAAAGTGTTGTATTCCACACACTTCTCTTGCACTAGGATACTTGCTTGTGCAATAATTCTCTCAAGCGATCACAGCAAACGGTCTTTGTTTCAAAGCATCCTACCTGAATATTGTTTTTATTATAAACTATGACTTGACTTCTTCTGATGGGCCTATAACCCATTACAACATAGAGTATGTGTCCCGGATTGCAATCCTTTGCTATTCTCAAACCTTTTGGTTAGGGAGTTGGTCCTTATCTCTCATTTCAAGCTGACATATCTGTGTGACCTTGAGACCCTCTCTAGGGCTCCACCATTCCCTCGGCTGTTGAAGGACATAGTAGTACAATCTTACTCTTTGGTGGTCTTGGGGAGTACAGCATGACAGCACAATGCCCATCAATGAGGAAGAACATCCTCCTCTGTCCCAGTTGGTCTAATTAAGTCGGTGCATTACTTCCCTGTTCATTCTTCCTGTCCAAAGAACTCGATAATCTTCCATCTAAATTCCATCTGAATGCAAGCCCTCTTCACTGACATGGATTGCTGAGTTTTAATCTGTCAAGGCTCAGCTATTAGACCTGGCATGGTCCTCATTGTACACTCAGAAAAGTATGTCACTGCTGGGTGCCGGTGTTTCACACCTGTAATCTAACAATTCAGGTGGCTGACATCTGAGGATCACATTTCAAAGCCAGCTCAGGCAGGAAAGTCTATGAGAGTCTTAGCTCCAATTAACCAGCAAAAAGCCAGAAGCGGAGCTTCAAGTACTTCAAGTATTAGAATGCCAGCCTTATACCAAAAAAAAAAAAAAAAAGGACAGCACCTAGACCCTGAGTTCAAGCCCCAGTATTGGCACAAAGAAAGAAAAGTATGTCATGGAAATAACCATTTATTGGGGGTAACTCTAGTAGAGTTGGTCACCCATGTTGGTTGGCTGATGATAGTGATGAATCATGTAGCCTTAATTTCTCCCTCATCATGATAATTAACCCTTCCCATCAATTCTTTTCTTCCTTGTCGTCCCCAAGTGGCACTTGTAATTCATGTTCTCCCTCTTCCATTCATTCTCCTCTCCTTTCTTTTTCTCTGTTTTCCTCCTTTTTTTTCTTTCAGATGGTATTTTTCTGTGTCATCACCAGCTTTGTCCTGCAATAGGCTCAACTTCCTTTATCATAAAATCCATTCTTTTGGTGGTGGTGGTGGTAATGGTTGGTTGTGGGGCTTGAACTCAGTGCCTGGGTACTGTCCCTAAGCTCTTCTGCTCAAGGCTAGTGCTCTGTCACTTGAGCCACAGCTCCAGTTCAGGGTTTTTCTGAGTAGTTTATTGGAGATAAAGAGTCTCATGGATTTCCCTGCCTGGATTGGCTTTGACCCACAATCCTCAGATCTCAGTCTCCTGAGTGGCTAGGATTATAGGCATGAGTGCCCATTAGTGCCCAGCATAAACCCTAGTCTTTTTTTCTTTTTTTTTGCTGGTCTTGAGGCTTGAACTCTGGGCCTGGATACTGTCCCTGGGCTTCTTTTCATTCAAGGCTAGTGCTCTACCACTTGAGCCACAGCAAATGGTCTTCATCTCAAAGCATCCTCCCTGAATATTGTCTTTCCTTATAAGCACTTTCCGGATTTTTCTGAGTAGTTTGTTGGAGATAAGAGTCTCCTGGACTTTTCTGCCCAGACTGGCTACAAACTGTGATCCTCAGATCTTAGCCTCCAGAGTAGCTAGGATTATAAGTGTGAGCCACCAGTACCTAGCATAAGCCCTAGTCTTTAAAAGTGTATTCCAACTCTTGCACAGCCATGCCTCAACTTGCACTTTGGGCAGGCTTTCTGTATACCCCTTGAATGTTAGGTGTCTGTTGTACCATCGACACTTGGTAACTCTTAACCCGACCTCAGCTGTGGTTCAGCATGCATCCCTTCATCTCCGGAGCTTCCTTCCTCCCACTCATTGTAGAGAAGGCAGGCTAAATTCTGCCCTTGCAACACGACTGTGTCCTGAGCTTCCTTTAGACCAGGGCTCCCTTCCCACAGTGCTCTTCATATGGCCTATGTTGTTTCTGGAGAAGGGTTTTCTATGACCTTCCAGAATGGAATTTATGTTTCTCTCCATCTGAACTTCAAAGCTTTGGACTCAAGCTCCCCTCTTGCTGTTTTCCATGAACACCCTTGTCTGCCTGTCACAGTGGTTGTCCCAATCACAGGGGGTGAGACACATCCATGTCTGGGAGCACTTTAAAGAGCGCACAACTGAGCTCAGCCACCACAGACTCTGCTAAGCAGCTGAGTAAACTCCCGTAGCTGTAGCTACCCTCCACACTTGGGAAGATGACAACAGATTCTCTCCTCCCTCTGAACAGCCATACAGGCAAGGAAAATGGTTGGTTTCTTGTTGTCCAAGACATAAAAAAATTCTTAAACTGGGTGCTGGTGGCTCACACCTGTAATCCTAGCGACTCAGGAGGCTGAAAGCTGAGGATTGCGGTTCAAAGCCAGCCCAGGCAGGAATTCTGTGAGACTTTTAATCTCCAATTCACCACCACCAGAAGTAGAGCTATTGAATAACTGCATATGTTCAGGCCCTGAGTTCAAGCCCCATGACTGACAAAAAAAAAAGAAACCTAAAATTCTTAAGGTATTTCTTGGCCTCACAAAAATATTAAATAAGAAAGTGCATTTCATTCACCTGTCTCAGGTTGTCTCAAAAGATAATCTGTCACAGCCAAAAGGAAAGTCCCTTTCCTTGTTCTTCTCACCAAGTTCTCCCACTTGCTGGCTTGTGATCTTGGCTGTGTGATTGTGCATTATCTAGGCCTCAGTTTCCCCAGCTGCAAAGTAGAGATAGCAATACGGTAGCATTTAGGATGATTGCAAAGACCAAATAAAGCAAAGGAGATGAAAGAACTTTGTAACTTACTTAAAATTACACTGTTAGTATTGTGATGCTCAGTACAGGTTGAGTAACCCTTATCTAAAATGCTTAGGACCAGAAGTGTTTTGGATTAGGAAAGGGAAATCTTTTGAGTGTGTGTGCATGTGTGTATAATTATATGTAATATATACATTATATATTATATGTATATTTATATGTATGTATACACACATATAAATATATATATATATATATATATATACACACACACACACACACACACACACACACACACACACATGTACTCATGTATACATGCAGAAAGAACAAGAGGGCTGTCTTGGGACATATTCCCAAGTTTAAACACAAAGTTCACTTTTGTTTCATATGTACCTCATGCACATAGCCTGAAGGTATTTATAGAGCTTTGATTGTGTGGCAGGCACACAACTTTTAAGTAATAACTTTAGCAGGCCTGACTTGGATTGAACCTCATTATATTTAAGTCAGGTGTGGAATTTGCTAACTCTGGTGTCATGTTGGAAGTTTTCAAACATTTGGATTGAACATTTGGATTTAAGATCTTTCAGAGTCAGGATGCTCAGTCAGCCTACACGTAATTCTAGCAAAGTTTCTATCCCTGTAAGGTATGGCAACAAGTTCTCCAATCCCCAGAGTATTTGAATCTTTCATGGCTATTATCTACCTCTCCCTGTGGTAAGGAGATTCCAAGCCACTCCGTTTCTAGAGGCCCTGAGATGTGAACTCAGATTCAGATGGTCCCAGACATTCTTACAAAACAGCCAGCCACTACATCTGACCTGCTAAAGGCACATGGTAGGGGTCTGGGGAGAATAAAACCCTCACACCATGTTCCCTCACTTCTGGGTTCATGCCTGTTGAAAACCAAAAATATTTATGACCTGACACACATGTATGGTTCCTGCTACTTGGAAGGTAAGGTTGGCAAGAGTTTCATGTTGACCTCAAGGACAAAAACCAATCGGGAGAACCCAACTGTGCTGGGATGAGCTTTAGAATCACAGTCCACCTGAAGGGAGCCAGCCTTCATCCTGGAGTATTTAGAGACTTAGTTACAGAGGAATGGACGGCGACTCAGAAATGAGACATGACTTCTTATTTCTTTCATGGTCTACTAATGTGATGATCTTTGGGTCCTTGTTTTTTTAGAAGTATAAGCATTGTCAGTGCTAACTTGGGTCCTGATTTTGATTTTTGTCTTCAACCTGTTCCTCGCTTTCTCTTTGTAAAGTTCATTAGCCATTAAGTAAGCTATTAACCAATAGCATCATAAAATATATAAATAACAGTGCAGTAACATATGAAAACAAATGCGCTATGTTTATTTACACTTTAATTCCAAGAATGTCTTTGGTGTGAGAAACAACAGCCTTAGGGGGAAGGGCGGCACCTTTTGTGTACAGGTGACAGCGACGTCCCTGAAGAATATTGTCATATGACATGGTCGTGTGCCATGCCCAGGTCCCACAGTGTGTCACGCCAAGCAGAACCATGCCGGTCATACAGATGGGCACAGTCTGACCTTGACATTTTTTTATTCTGACAAGTAGACATGACACGGTGAGACCCAGGCACGGCGTTGTTCACCCTGCTCTGTTTTTTCTTTCTCTTTTCTTTTTTTTTCAGAGACTCGGACCTATTTTTGTTGGACACTCGAGTTGTGTGGGCCTCGGAAGAAGGCTGGCTGGAATTTGACATCACAGCCACTAGCAACCTGTGGGTGGTGACCCCGCAGCACAACATGGGGCTGCAGCTGAGTGTGGTGACACGGGATGGTAAGCAGAGGGCTGCCCACGGCCAAGACTGGGCCTGTAGATGTTCCTGTTCGTTTTCTCGGGAGCAGTTGTCTTACGATCATGCTTTACAGTCCAGTCCTGGCTCCAGCATGATCTCGCTTGCTGTTCCCTCGTGTCTATACTCAAAACCAAACCTTCCCCTTGATGACTCCTTGCAAGGACTCAGGGGCAGGCTGGCACCAAGTTACCTCCCACGATCCAAGAGCAATGATGGAAAGACAGGAGGATGGGGAGAAAAAGGCAGGCAGTCTAGGGAAGTAGCTCGGGGGCACAGCACGCATCCAGCATATGCGAGGCCCTGGGCTTTCATCTTAGAAGACAGGAACTGCCCTGGAACTCTGACTGCCCAGCAGGTTAGCCAAGGAGATCCTTGTGAAGCCCTTTTCTCCCAAAGCAGGAAAGTTCAGTTCCCTGATGTGACTAGTCCTGACTCCCCAGTGGTTTCAATGACTGGGGAGAAATAAGATCAGAAGGAACATGAACATGGCTGAGTGAGTAGCAGTGGCAGAGCCTGAGAGCTCCTTGGTGTGAAGCAGGTACACATGGCAGAGAGTGTTGATTCTCCCCATCCACAGCGAGGTGGAGAGTGCATAAAACTTCTTCCTCACACTCATTCTTTGGTACCAGTTGTCAGGGTGCTAGGACGAGTCACTTGTGGTGTAGCTCCAAGGCTCACGTGCCACTGAATAAAGAGGGGCGTGCTTTGCTTTGTGTTCAAGGGCTCCACATCAACCCCCGTGTGGCAGGCCTGGTGGGCAGAGACGGCCCTTATGACAAGCAGCCCTTCATGGTGGCCTTCTTCAAAGTGAGTGAGGTCCACGTGCGCACCACCAGATCCGCCTCCAGTCGGCGCCGACAACAGAGTCGAGATCGCTCCACTCACGCCCAAGACGTGTCCCGGGTCTCCAGCGCTTCAGGTGCGTGCAAATGCAACCTCTTCTGCTTGAACAGGTTCCGCATGACAAATGCAGTGACCTGTGGGCGACAATGAGTTTTCACAGTCACTTGCCCTCTGGAGAGACTCCTAGGAGGCCCATGGCGTGGACTACTTGTTGCTCAAAAGACTCGGGCTGCAGATCTCCTGGCTGCCTCTTTCCACACAAGCGTCCTTCTGTTCTGTTAGATTTCTCCGATTCTTTTTTTCATATCGAAACCATAGAAATACCTTAATTTCTATTTGTTGTAGTACGCCTTCCTTATTTCAAAACTCATGAGGACCGAGGTCAGAGGAACATCAGATATGAAAGTATTTGCATATTCATAATAGCTTGTCTTGAGGAACAAGACCTGAGTTTAAGGAAATATGTATGCAACTTGTGTACATAGACTGAGGGTAAGTTTATGCAGTATTTGCTAGGGAGGGAGCTTGCTGGTCCTGGGTCTTGAACTTAGGACCTAAGTGCTTTTGTGCTCAAGGTTAGTGCTCTACCACTTTGAGCCACATCTGGTTTTATTGGTGGTTAATTGGAGGTAAGATTTTCATGCACTTTTCTGCATCCTCAGATCTCAGCCTTCTGAGTAGCTAGGATTAAAGAATATTTTAAAAAATTATCTTTAATTGTACAAACGGGCTTCAAATTCAACGTCAGGTTATGAGGACTGTGCATCTTGGTCAATGTCACCCTTCCCATCATTTTTTCACACTACGATGTTTCAAACTATGTGTTTGTGTATTTATCAGTGTTCTTAGCTGGAAATGATGACAAGTAAACTTTCAAACAGTCTCTAAAATGGATTTCGTTGGCCACTTAACTAGGAGGTTCAGAGGTTTTGCCTTTAGCCATTGCTGGATCCATGGGTTCACATGGCATTAAACATTTCCCTCTTCTCCTCGCATCTTTCCCTAATGGGTAGAATTTTCAGAAAGACAATCTCTGAATAGGCACCCTACAGTTCTAGGATTTCATCAGCCTTGGAAACCGTAACCCTGATAGAGAACCCCTGTTCTGTAGTAGTTTCATTAGAAAGCCAGGCTATAATGCTCTTTAATGCTTCTGTCATGTCCTCTAGGCTGAGAAGCTGGGAAGGTGCTCTGATTAGCCACGCCTGCTCTGTAGGTTCACCCTTGGAGCTAGAGCTGAGTCAGCCCCGTTTCACCAAAAGAGGCAAATCCAAGGGCAAGAGATAGGAAATGACCCTCAGAAGCCTGAGTGTCATGGTCTTTCCAATGCAGTGGCTTTGGGGGAGGTGGAGATGGAGAGGGGAAGGGAAATCAAGACATTCCCTACACAGCTGACCATACAGCTAAGTGCTTTTGAGTTCAAATCCAGACATTTCCTACGCTACACCTAGTGTTGCAAGTTCTGGGCTTCCTTTGACTGTTTGCATAGCACAGGAATCAAGTATGATGTTGAAGACTTGCAATCAGGAACATGTTCACAGGATTGCTCCTTATGATTTTGGACAAAGCCAACCTGTTTGAACCTCAGTGTTCTTCTCTCAAAAGTGGGGGTGGTGTGCACCTTGCATACTAGTTGGGGTTATATGAAAATACGTTTAATCTGGTTTATAATAGCCGTCAAGATGAATCACACCCCAGGAGGACGGAAGTGCTAAGGGTGTATGTTAGAAGTATCATCCTTCAAGAACATGTATTTATTTTTCCAAGCAGCTGTTTAGACATCTCATGTTCAGTACCTAGAGTTAACTTTCCTAAGTACTCACCCTTTCTCTGGGGAGAAGGGTCTCATAAGTTTTAGGTTGTGACTTAGCCATCTCTTTAACCAATAACTGGGATGTAGAACTCGAGAATCTACCACCCAGTGTGCTATGACATTTTGTTTCTTATTGTCCTGGTGTTTTTTGTGAGGCACTCACCACATGGATGGTCTGTGAACAATCATGACTGGAACTTTGAAAAAGAAAGGCATGCTTTTCTCTTCCTTTCAGAGACAGCCTCCTGAATAGAGCTAATGACCTGGGCACTTCAGTGAGGTTTGCCCATGGCAGGATTCAATCCATTCATGAACTGTGGTCTGTTTCATACGTGGAACCCAGACCAGAAAGCATCTTTGAATTGCTCATTGTTTTTTCAAATTAAAATTTCACTTGATTCAATTGCTACCTATAGCAATTTCTTTTAATTGAGAAAACATGTTGTCCAGTTTGAGTTTTAACAATGTCACCCAATGATTATATTCCAAGTTCCTTTCACCTTTTTTTTTTTTTTTTTTGATGAGTTAAAATGAGGTATGGAGAGTGATGTTAATCTGGGTTGTAATGAGTTGCAAAATGCTCCAAATTTTCCTTGGTCTCTCCACCCCTTTTTCACTCTCAGCTCAAATTTTCTTTCCCAAATTTGTTTTGTTCCCTTCTATGATCCAGGACTAAAGAGTTTTTACCAAATCCCTCTGGCTTAATGGGTGTGTGTGTGTGTGTGTGTGTGTGTGTGTGTGTGTGTGTGTGTGTGTGTGTGTGTGTGTGTGTGTGTGTGTGTGTGTGTGTGTACGTACATGGATGCTTGTGCGTATATCTAGGCTCAGTGCTTGAACTCAGAGCCTGAGTACTAGCTTTTTCTCTCAAGACTAGTACTCTACCACTTGAACCATACATCTGCTGCCAGCTTTTTATTGGTTAATTAGAGATAAGAGTCTCATGGACATTTCCACATGGTCTGACTTGCAATCTCAATTTTTAGATTTTAGCCTACTGAGTTACAAAATTACAAGTATGAGCCACTGGAGCCTGGTTTGCTTGGCCTTAAAAGCCCTCAGAAAGAGTTAATACAAAGGATTCCCCTTCTTCCCACTCTCTTCAAAGACCCTGTCTCGTGAGCTAGAAAACTGCTTGTATTTGGCCTATGGAAGAACGCTTTATATACTCGCTTTTCTTTATTCTTCTGTTAAGAGGGGAAGAGGTTCCCCCTCAAGAAGGAATTTCCAGAAATATGGTGTGGAGGAGTACACATCTGTCTCCTGTACTCCCCTCCCTGCCGCCACCCTCCCCCCCCCCCCCATCCAGGCCTGTGGAGGGGCTGCAGGACTGGGAGCTGGGTACTGAGTCAGAATAGTTGTTGTGTCTGGTGTGACTCCAGCAGATTTTCTCCTTGTAAATCCTTCACAAGGTTGAAGGCAGAGATTGCTTGGCCTCTGCTGCCCCCCATCTTCCACCATACACTCCCAGGGAATTGATTCTTCCCCGAAGTAACCACGTGCAGAAGCAGCCCAGTGGGGATTGGCCTGCATCTGGGTCAAGCAGTGAGCATCATTCATCAGATTGCCTGTCATCGGGGTGAAGAGCAGCAGGGAAATAGGAGAATATGTTAGCAACTAAGCTGAGGCTGCCTGAGAGAGCAAGCGAAGGAGCATCCATCTGTCTCCTCCCCACTTCCCACCAAAAAAAAAAAAAAGGTACTCTAGCACAAGTACTTGCCTTTCAAGCTGGCCTCTCCAAACACGTGCGCTAGACTGTGGGTGGTTTGAGGAAGTCTCCCAGGAGGCTTTTCATGTGGCCTTGCTTACTCGGCAGCTGTCAGCTGCTCAGGAATGATGGATGTTAGGTGGGTTGCACTTTGCCAGCGAGCGTGGAGAGTCACTTGTATGGCTTTTGCACATTTGATTGGTCTTATGGACCAGGATGCCCTGAGCAGCCCATCGATCATTCTCATGGATCTGGCAGTTAACATTTTTAGTCTCCAGTTCTTGAAAACTTGCTGTGCTGTCTCGCTCTCCTCTGGAATGTCTCTTAGATTCATTATTTCGTCTCTTGGGGGACTGTGACACCCGTTGCTACTACTGTGAGGTCTATGAGCAAAGGCCTTGAACAGTGATTCCTTAGGCACTTACATCTAAGGTCTACCTAGCTAAGTTTCTAGGATCATCACAAGACACCGCCAAGTCAGCTAGTGAGTCTGAGGTTTCTGCCATGTTAACCAACTGGCTGCTGGTGCTCATGGCTCAGCACTGACCTACATGTTGTCAGATGACAGGTGGAAGCATTAGCTGTCACTGTGAATAGTTCCTATAAAGGTGGAGTTGTCTCTCTCATTCTTGATGTTTATATATGTACTGTCAATACCCAGCTCTGCCACTTCTCTATACCACCCTCCCAGGACCCTGCATTTCCTGGGGCATGATTTGTCATCGTCCCCAATGCTACCAGTGAGCATTTCTTAGAGCAAATTCTCCTTCTAGCTCTTTCCCACTCACACAAACATGTACCTTTAAGGGCCCTGGGGAAAATATAACTATGCACTTATTTTGTTTAGTGGCACTGGAGATTGAACTTGGGACCTTAGACTTGGTAGACAAGTGATCTACCATTTAAGCTACACTCTTTTTGCTTGACTTTTTAGATAAGGTCTCATGCTTTTGCCTGAGCTGGCCATGGACTGTGATCTTTCTAGCTATACCTCTCATGTAGATGAGATCATAGGCATGAGCCACCACATCTGCCTTGTTTTTGAGATCAGGTCTCATTCACTTTTTCCAGGAGAGGCTGAAACCACAATTCTCCTGTCTCTGCCTCCTGAGCAGCTCAGATTATAAGCCAGTGACCATGTGACGTTTTTGCTCTTGATTTTACTTTGTTCCACAGACTGTAATCTCATTCTTACAGTGTTTCTAGTAATTCAACATTGGCTCCTATGAGTTGGGATGCCAAAATTGAGTGAGTTCGCCATGAACAATCTCAGGCCTGGAAGGAATTGACATGGCCTAAGTGAGGCAAATTATATCATTATTCCTTCAAAAAAGTTGGGAATTTAATTGTCATTTTGAGCTTAAAACTTAATTGTCTCTAGGCACCAGTGGCTCACACAGTTACCCTAACTACTCAGAAGGCTGAGATCTCACTGTTCAAAGCCAGCCTGGGCAGGAAAGTCCTTGAAACTCTTATCACCAATTAACCACCAGTAAACTGGAAGCTGCACTGTGGCTCAAAGTGGTACAATGCTAGCCTTGAGTAAAAAAAGTTCAGG